CAGAGCTAAGCACTAGAGAGGGAGGCCATGAATGCAATCAGCCCACCCCAAGCCTCTGTGGTTTTGCTGTGGAGTGCTCTGGAGTCGTGCTAACAGCAGTGGCGCCGTGGAAAGGAAGATAGGGTGGGGAAAGACCCTCAGACCAGTTGCTATTTTTCTCCGTGCCTGGACTTCTCATTTTTCTTTCTCTGGCAGGACCTCAGTCTGAAGAGGCCTACTGGAGTCACAGCAATGAAGGTGACCTTCTACCAGAGCGCACCCGGGTGTGGGAGATGGGTACCGAGAGGCGACTGCAGTCCTGTCATGAACTGCCGCCTGGTGGTCCCAAAGGGAAGGTTTGATCCCTTGAGTTGACTCTATATTGACCAGGCATTCTCAGGGGCATTTAGGAGTAGTACCCATGCACGCACTGTTGGGCACCTTCGCTCAGAAAGTAATTGCTGTGGGAGATGGAATTAAACTTTAGCCCTCTAGTCCACCCCCATATTCATATTTATTCAGTGGTTTGAAGGAACGCTTAATGCGTGTCCTTTGGGTTCAGAATGATTAATGTGAAGTCTGTTTAGATTGACGGGCAGGTGGATGACTAACCATTTAGGCAGTGATTCATAGCTGGCAATTATAATGAATAACCTCCCAAGATGATCAGATCAAAGTAAGCCACTTTGAGCTTAATAGATTTTGAGAGACAGATGGTGCCTGGGTAAAGGGTCAACACACACAAAAAATTAAACATATTTATCCTTGCTTTGCATCTTGTTGCGAGAATAATTTACAGTGCTGTCTAAAGAAGTAACCTGCTCTATTCCTCTCTGGTTATGGTTCCTCTCTAAGTCAGCTAATTGATTTACATTTTAAATGTTAATTCATAGCTGATTATCAGTATTGACCAGATAATACTAGAATCTGAGGCCTGCTTGAGCTAAGAATTCATGCTTTGCAGGACGATTTCAGGCACACACCTTGCTAGTTACATATCCCTCCAGGACATGGTTAGAAATGAAGGACAGCCACCTTATTATGGACATAGGATCAATGAATTATAGAATAATTAAGGTTGGAAGGGACCTCAGAAGGCCTCTGGTCCAATGCCATGATCAAAGCTAGTCCAGCATAGAAATTTTATCCCGTTTTGAAATTATGTCAGGGCCTTATCCAGTCATTTTGAGTACATCCAAGGACAGAAATCTCAAAACACCTTTGGGCCTCTCTTCTAGTGCTTGAACGTCCTCACTATGATTTTTTCTCCAGCATGTTTAACCAGGATTTCCCTTGTTTCCTCATTCAGCTTGATAGCGGAGGTTCCTCTTTTCTGTCTAGCCCTTCATCAAGCACTAACACTTTATAAATTTGGGTCATTCTCACACACAGTCACCTTCATTCACAAGCACCTAGATATAGTACAGCTGTGTTATTACTTCCCATTATGGTTGGTAAGGTTTCCAAGCATCACAGAGCTCTCTGAGGGATCAGCACTGGTGGTTATTGAAAATGACATGAAGCACCTAATAACAAGGATAGGTGTTCTCTGGAGGCAGGGATCATTCCTCCATTATCCTCTTGTTTCCATCATGTCTTTATTGAGGTAGCAGG